ACTGGAGTCCCTGGATCCCAAACTGGGGTTCCTGGATCCCAAACTGGAGTCCCTGGATCCCAAACTGGGGTTCCCAGATCCCAAACAGGAGTTCCTGGATCCCAAACTGGGATTCCCTGGATCCCAAACTGGGGTTCCTGGATCCAAAATTCGATTCCTGGGATCCCAAACTGGAGTCCCTGGATCTCAAACTGGAGTCCCTGTATCCCAAACTGGGGTTCCTGGATCCCAGACTGGAGTTCCTGGATCCAAAATTCAATTCCTGGAATCCCAAACTGGAGTTCCCGGGATCCCAAACTGGGATTCCCTGGATCCCAAACCGGAGTCCCTGGATCCAAAATTCAATTCTTGGGATCCCCCTGGATCCCAAACTGGAGTTCCCGGGATCCCAAACTGGAATTCTGGGATCCCAAACTGGGATTCCCTGGATCCCAAACTGGAATTCCGGGATCCCAGACCGGAGTTCCCCCCTCTGCTGACCCCGGGAGCTCGAGGGCCGCTCGGTCCCCGCTCTCACAGAGTTTCGGAAGCTGCTTAATTGACCAGGTTAATTAATTCCGAGCCCGGGATCGCGGGATCGGGGCCGCCTCCGGGTCCCACCTGACGACGACGGAAACAAAACCCCCTTTTTTTGGGGTGGGTTTTTTTTTTTGTTTGTTTCCCGTGTTTTTTTTTGGCTCCGCCGCCGAATCCCGAGGGGGAAACCGAGGAGAGCCGAATTCCAACCCCCCCCTCTCCCTCCCTCCCGGGCTGGGAATTCTTGGAGCGGGTCCCTCCTTCCTGGTGCTCCCGATCCCGGGCTGGACTCCGGGGTCAATGAGTAACTCCTGACTCAGGGATTTCTTCCCCGGGGGCCACGGGGGGGGAAAGCGAAAGCGCCGCGGGAACGGGAACGGGGAGGGATCCTCGGGGTGAGCTTTGGGGTTCCAGCTCCGGGAAAGGACATTCCCGAGCTCCCGGATCCACCGGGGGGGTCCCTTGTGTGTCCCCCCCCTCATTCCCGGCCGATCCCACCGGTGGCTTTTCCCGGCACTTGGTGGGAACAGGGCCTGAAGGGGGG